ATTGGTGGAGGTAAGAGAGATGCCTGTGACAAAGTACCAATCAGAATCCCCGAATGAGGCTGGCAATACATGATTGGTTGGTTGAATGATATCAACAGGCTGGTATCTAAAGACAAGAGAGAACACCATGAGCCATCACAGCAGAAAACATATGGGGGCATGATCAAACAGCTGTTCCTCCCCATGCTCACCTCCCAGCCCAAGAAATACTGACAACATGATGATTATTATTATATTATTATTATTTAAATGACATTTTTGGATTTGATAAAAAAACAACTTTTTCATCCTTCTTTTCACCCCACCAACACATGTGTATGTACATTTAGAGATATTAAATAAACAACATTTTCTTTAGGCACACATATATACCCTCCCAAGTACACTGCCACCTGTGAAGTGCCGTACCCTTAAGAATTTTTAATTTATTTTTGGCAGCAGATTAGTGGGCTGGGGAAACTGCTGAACCACCATATTATTATTATTATTATTATTATTATTATTAAAAAAGCAACTACAAATGTAAACATGGACCTTTAGACAGTTGTATTTTGGTATCTGATTTATCGGCATCACAACCCCGCCCCCCTTCAATCAGTTCCGAGGCGCCTTAACAAAAGTTTAAACATTACAATACAACACACATTGAAACAAAAACATTAAAACAATGTTCCAGGTGATGGGCAAAAAGTTTAATGTTCTTCAGAGCCATGAAGTTGAAAGCCAAATTACTTTGGAAACATGCTGCTGAACATGGAACTCGCTGGACGTGAGACCGTGCTTAAAAGCAATGCAAGGGCCTCCTCCTGGTTCATTGTAAACTTACATGCTGGTGTAGGCACCCAGGTAAGGCATTCATCCTGCTGTAGCCTTTTTCACATTCCCTGCAATTGCAGGCTGTTACGGCATGGCAACTCTCCCCAGAGGGGAGTTGCTTCAGGTGGGAGAAAAAGGAGGCGAGAAATACTTCATGAGCAATTTGGGGATCCCCCATTCACAGGGAGTCCATTCAAGACGTTGAAGGCAGCTGATGGCCTAACTTTTCACTGCGTGCCATTAAGTTCAAAACCTGCTTGAACAATGCTGATGGAGAAATGGGATTTCTCTAAAGAATAAAATAAATGGCAGTGGAATCAATCAAAAGCTATCGCTTACTGCTAGAGGGCCATGCCTAGCGTTTTCTTACAAATCACATTTGGGGACGTGGCTAAGTACATGCCAAAATGGCTTTTGGGGTAGAAGCAGGTATGAAGTCCATCAGTAATTTGGAAGATTCAAATGTCATGACACTGACTTTCAGCAAGAGCTCTTTGATTCAGTTGCCTGTGGTTCTAGTACTTTTGAGGTGAAACGCCAAATACAAACAGCTCTGTGTGTGTGTATCTGTCTGTATAACTGCTGCTGTATAGAAAGAGCCACAGGTAGTATTGATAAATAAAGGAAGACATTTCTATACTGTTCACACATGCTTTTGGAAAGAAATTCATACCCCCTTCTTCTCTGCCGCTTCCCTCTTATTTCTTTACCAACACTTTCAGCTCCTATTCTCTCAATGTAACAGAAACAATTGCCATAGAGTTCAGGTTCTTCCTAGAAAGGAAGCACTCATTCTGTATAGTGGTGAGAAGAGGCTCCCTAGGAAGGGGGTACAGAGGACATTTTCACAAACATTTTCACAAACAATTCAGAAATTAGGAGTTAGTACTTTTACTGCGGCATTGCTTTCAAATTCCCTTCAATGAAAAGAGGAGTCAAAAGTAAGCTAATGGGTTGTTATGCTAAAGGGACACAGCTCCTACATTTTCAGACCAAGCATAGTATTACAACCCTTGTTTTTTTCTGGCTAGTAGCTACTGATGGCACTTCTTGGCTGTGGCTTTTTTTTTTTTTTCTGAAAAGAGAACCTGACACAACAAATAATCCTTTATGGTTCAGAAAAAATAAAATCAGCTCCTATTACTTCCAATACAATCAAAATAATTTGCAGGATTAGATTTGCACGAGTCCACGGAGGGCAAAAGACAAGCAGCAGGCAGTGTATGTGATGCTGGACCAGAGGCTACTGCTAAGTAAAAGAAAAAAGGTTTATCTATAAGGCAGTAACGATCACTTATGGTTTGTGTTAAATACCATGACAAGTTTTGCTTCATAGCCTCCGAAAGCAGCTGCGGTTGCCCCAAAAGGAGGGCTCCTTCCAAGATTATTTAGCATTAATAACAGACAGTAAAACTTTTAACTTAGGATGGAATAGCAAGGAAGAAGACTGTTCAGTCTCAAGATCCCCAGGGCAGTAAGCTGTAAAATACATTATAAATAGTTATAATCCATATCTAACATCTTCAGAGGAAAAACCAAGGGCCAAACTAGATGTGACAGTACCAGAACTAGTTTACTGACACCCAAATCAGCCAGGATAGGCATTCATCTTGCCCACCCAAAAGCAGGCTTCCCCAGCCTGGTGACCCCCAAAATGCTGGACTACAAGATGGCTGTGAACAATGAGAGTTGTAGTCCAACACACCTGGGGTGTAGCAGGTTGGGGAAGGTTCCCTTAACCTCTCCCTCTAACTCAGGGATAGGCAACCTTTCCCCTTTAAGGGCTGAGGGACTTCAGCTCCCAGAATCCCAGGAGCTACTGGCCAACATGGGACTATTGGCCAACATGGCTGAGGCTTCTGGGAGCTGAAGTCCCTCGGCCCTTAAAGGGGAAAGGTTGCCTACCGCTGTCTAACTACTCTCCCCCCAGTTCACTTCTAGCATCAGAGCTCAGCTCAGGTGAAAAGTGCCATGGGGGGTGAGGATGGGGGGAGGCAAACCATGGATAATGAGAGGGATCAGCATCCCCTTCCCCAATGTTTCGTGTTTTTTTTTTTATGTACAATATTTTATACCACCTTCCAGGTTTGAAAAAAAAACAACAATGCAAGCTAATAGATTGCACTTTATATGTGACTCTAGTGACTGGTGGTGGTGGTGATGATGATGGTGGTGATGAGAATGAGGATGATATAATAATAATACTAACAATAACAACAACACTATAGAACATTTATAAAAAAATGGGGGTGGGTTGGGGTGGGGAATCTGGCCTGGCTTAAGCACCTGGATACTTCTGTCAGTAACAAGATAATCCACTTTGTGTTTTCCCGGGGGAGGGGTGAAGGGAAAGAGCAATGGATTTAAAAGTTGGCAGCTGCAAAGTGATTCAGTATCTGGTTTCTTTAAAAGACTTGAAGCCACCCCGATGGATTTGCAGCTGACTCCAGACTTCAGTATGACATTGCAGCGTCATCTTTATCAGCAGAGAGAACAAAAAGTGAGTGTCTAGGGGGCACAAAATAGCAGCAACTGCAGTGGCAAAGCACTTACGCAGAGAGACTGTAACAGGGATGCAAGATGGCAGGCAGGCCGAACTAGTTTCCATCTCGTATTGGCTGCGATGCGTTGGGGCTGGCACACAAGCAGGTGCGGTGATGTGCACTGAGTGGGCTAGTGCAGTCAGGGACTGCCTTCCTGTTTGCCATGAAGGGGAGTAGTCTGTATTCACAACAAGGATTCTCCATTAAATTATAGAACTGTCATGGTGTGTGCATCAGGGTCCCAGAGAGCTCTGGCTTGTGGCCATTAGGTGGACGTGAAAGCCAATTCATTTGTTGAGTGGACAGTAACAAATATTTAATTTACACAGCAATTTAGAGCTTTTCAATAGGGTGTTCCCTTATATCAGGCTATACTATACAGTTGTCTAGTCTAGCATAGTTTATTCTGACTAGTAGCAACTTTCCAGGGTCTCAGGCAGAGAGTTTCCATCACTTGTTACCCAACTCCTCATTCAGAGGAAGAACCGTAGCTCAATGCTAGAGTGGATCCTTCTAACTGGCAATTCCAGGGACTGAACGTATGCACAGACTGGGCCACTGTGCTGTGGTCCCTCCCTAAATACCTTACCTTGTTATAATCTTTGCAACAACTTTTGGTATTATTTTCTTTATACTGAAGATGGGTCTAAGGCTTAGATATACAGTCATGACTAAGGCAATCTAGTACTTTCATGGCAGAGAAGATATTTGAACTAGACGCTTAGCTTGAACCTGTGAAGTCAAAATCTAAGGTTAGAATCTGGACTATTAAACTTCTGAGGAATATTCGGCATCTTGGCCTAAATACCCTAAAGGCACCAGAGGGTGTCTGATCCTGGAAGCTAAGTAAGATCAGCCCTTGTTAATACTTGGATGGGAGATTGCCAATGGATCCCAGGTACTGTAGACCTGTTTCAGAGGAAGGAACTGGCAAAATCACCTCTGAGGATTCCTTGCCTAAGAAAACCGTATGAAATTCATGGAATCGCTATAGGTCAATAGGCAACTCAAAGGCACATACATACAAAGGCGCCTCTGCTTTAGGGGTGGGCTGCACTGGACCTCCCAACCACTCATAACTTCTCCTGTCCCTGTCTCATTCAATTCCCCCCCCCTTTTATTTTTAGTCACAACTGTGTTGCTGAAAAATTCAGCACTGCAGGGGCAATTTTGGAAGCAACAAGGGGGACTTGGGGTACATGTGGCCCCTACATTGCCAACACTGCTGTGTATTAATGGAACTGAACGGTGACATGCAGCGCTAGCCTGTACGACTGGCCAAATCTGGGATAATTATTATGAGAGAGGTTTTCTGCCCTTGTCTGGTCAAGAAAGCAGAAACGTCTGAACTCCAGCACTAACTAGCTTAAACTCAAGTCAAATCAGAGCTGGAGAATGCTCTCTCTATGTCTTTAGTTCTCTATACGGCCCTTGACTATGGTCTGCCCCAGCCTTATGATACAGGCTTAATTCAGAAGTTATGTCAACATGGCTTGTATTATGTGTTTGTGTGCTGTGTCCTGAAAGTCATTTCCGATCTAAGGGGTTTTCTTGGCAAGATTTGTTCAGAGGAGGTTTGCCATTGCCTTCCCCTGAGGCTGAGAGGATGTAACTTGCCTAAGGTCACCCAGTGGGGTTTCATGGCTGAACAGGGATTCAAACCCTAGTCTCCAGAGTCGTAGCCCAGTGCTCAAGCCACTACACCATACTGGCTCCTGGTTTGTATTATAACTGTGGTTAAAAAGCCATAGATACTATTAGCTGGAAAGCTATGATTTGCCTGCGTGCTTTCATTTTCTATCTGTTCACTACTTAGCTTCACAAGTTCATACACTGCAGCCTGTGGTGTACAGTCAATGTCCATGACTGATGTGTCAAATTCAGATAATACAGCAAACTACTGTTTAGAGAAGGGAAGGCCTAGAAAAAAAATAGAAATCCTCCCCCAACCTGTTTTCCCAGAAAAAGTACATATGGGAAATTTTCTTTTAAAATGACAAAGTATTTAAGAGGAAGTATTCTTATATTTACAACCCCTCCCCAATTATTTTAAAAACGATGCATCAGGTTGACTTGTAGGTAAGACTTTGTAAAGTACAGTATCTTATATCACAGCAACTCTTGGTCTTAGGGCCTTTGCAAACTGCCAGAAATAGTGCAAATTGAGTCCAC